CAGCAGCAGCAGGAGCGTCTTCAGCATCAGGAGCGTCTTCAGCAGCAGGAGAAAAAAGTAGCTAAAATCATCTTTTCTATGGGTTTCAGAAGTTACGTTAGGCATTTTTGCGATGCAATTTCGAAGCTTTTCCGTCCTTCACTGCCATGGGGATTTGCCGCTGGGAGTGGTTCGCTTTTAGGCGTCGCAGCTAGCAACCAGCAGCAGCAGCAGCAACAGTAGGAGCGTCTTCACCAGCAGGAGAAAAAAGTAGCTAAAATCATCATTTTCTATGGGTTTCAGAAGTTACGTTAGGCATTTTTGCGGTGCAATTTCGGAACCTTTCCGTCCTTCACTGCCATGGGGATTTGCCGCTGGGAGTGGTTCGCTTTTAGGCGTCGCAGCTAGCCACCAGCAGCAGCAGCAGCAGCAGGAGCGTCTTCAGCAGCAGGAGCGTCTTCAGCAGCAGGAGCGTCTTCAGCAGCAGGAGAAAAAAGTAGCTAAAATCATCATTTTCTATGGGTTTCAGAAGTTACGTTAGGCATTTTTGCGGTGCAATTTCGCAACTTTTCCGTCCTTTACTGCCATGGGGATTTGCCGCTGGGAGTGGTTCGCTTTTAGGCGTTGCAGCTAGCCACCAGCAGCAGCAGCAGCAGCAGCACTAGCAGCAGCAGCAGTAGGAGCGTCTTCAGCAGCAGGAGAAAAAAGTAGCTAAAACCATCATTTTCTATGGGTTTCAGAAGTTACGTTAGGCATTTTTGCGGTGCCATTTCGAAGCTTTTCCGTCCTTCACTGCCATGGGGATTTGCCACTGGGAGTGGTTCGCTTTTAGGCGTCGCAGCTAGCCACCAGCAGCAGCAGCAGCAGCAGCAGCAGTAGGAGCGTCTTCAGCAGCAGGAGAAAAAAGTAGCTAAAATCATCATTTTCTATGGGTTTCAGAAGTTACGTTAGACATTTTTGCGGTGCAATTTCGAAACTTTTCCGTCCTTTACTGCCATGGGGATTTGCCGCTGGGAGTGGTTCGCTTTTAGGCGTTGCAGCTAGCCACCAGCAGCAGCAGCAGTAGGAGCGTCTTCAGCAGCAGGAGAAAAAAGTAGCTAAAATCATCTTTTCTATGGGTTTCAGAAGTTACGTTAGGCATTTTTGCGGTGCAATTTCGAAGCTTTTCCGTCCTTCACTGCCATGGGGATTTGCCGCTGGGAGTGGTTCGCTTTTAGGCGTCGCAGCTAGACACCAGCAGCAGCAACAGGAGCGTCTCCAGGAGCAGGAGAAAAAAGTAGCTAAAATCATCATTTTCTATGGGTTTCAGAAGTTACGTTAGGCATTTTTGCGGTGCCATTTCGAAGCTTTTCCGTCCTTCACTGCCATGGGGATTTGCCGCTGGGAGTGGTTCGCTTTTAGGCGTCGCAGCTAGCAAGCAGCAGCAGCAGCAGCAGCAGCAGCAGCAGGAGCGTCTTCAGCAGCAGGAGAAAAAAGTAGCTAAAATCATCATTACTACTACTACTACTACTACTCCAAGCCTGCAGCAGCAGTTGCTTTGTTGTTAACAAGATCCAGAAGGGACGTCAACATTGGATGGATTGGTCTGGATTCGATTTCTATTGGATTCGATTTCTAGCCGGATTCTAGCAGGATAGCAGGAGAAGGGATAGCAGGATTAGAGAGGATAGAGAGGATTTCTAGTACGATTTCAGAAGGGACGATCCGGCCCCCAGGGAACTTGTTCTTGCGATTGATTTGGAGGTCGTTCCGTCCTTCACGGCCCTGGTGTTTTGCTATTTTGGAGGCGCCCGCTAGAACTTCGCTGTGGAGCTGTTTTGAGGGCATGGGAGCTACACTTTGGAGCTATAGCTTCTTGTCGGTTCAGAAGGCAATGTTAGGCACTTTTTTGGGCGTGGTTTTGGAATCACTACTACTACTACTACTACTACTACTACGACTACTACTACTACGACTACTACTACGACTACTACGACTACTACTACTACTACTACTACTACTACTCCAAGCCTGCAGCGGCAGTTGCTTCGTTGTTAACAAGATCTAGAAGGGACGCCAACATTGGATGGATTGGTCTGGATTCGATTTCTATTGGATTCGATTTCTAGCCGGATTCTAGCAGGATAGCAGGAGAAGGGATAGCAGGATTAGAGAGGATAGAGAGGATTTCTAGTACGATTTCAGAAGGGACGTTCCGGCCCCCAGGGAACTTGTTCTTGCGATTGATTTGGAGGTCGTTCCGTCCTTCAGGGCCCTGGTGTTTTGCTGTTTCGGAGGCGCCCGCCAGAACTTCGCTGTGGAGCTGTTTTGAGGGCATGGGAGCTACACTCTACATGACTCTCCTCTACATGACTCTCCTCTGCATGACTCTCCTCTACATGACTCTCCTCTACCTGACTCTCCTCTCACTTCTCTAGATGATTCTCCTCTCCATGATTCTCCTCTCCATGCCTCTTCTGTACGTGACCCTTCTCTACATGACTTTCTTCTACATGGCTCTCCTCTTCTCTCTACACATATCTTTCACTCCAAGACCACAGTCCTATAATATAGACATATATATACATACGTCACTCCAAGAACAAGACCCTAGTCCATATCTTTATGTATACATAACTCCAAGGACAGGGTCCTGGACTATATATATATATATATACATATGTATATATACGTATTTACCTCCGAGGACACAGTCCTGGTATATATATATATATATCACTCCAAGGACAAAGTCCTGGTATATAGATTTCTATATATATATATATTAATAACTCCAAGGACAAAGTCCTGGTATATAGATTTCTAGATATATATAAATAACTCCAAGGACAAAGTCCTGGACTACGGGGAAAAAAAAAAAAAAACGTCCCTGTTCGGGACACTGCCTGTCCGGCAGGCTAGTTACTGTTTCGATGTATATATATATATATAGAGATAGATATCGATACATATGTAGTTAAGTACGTAGTCTATTTTTTCTTTCAATACTCATGTATTTATATATACATGCATATTACATTACATTACAATACAATCAGTACATTCATCTATGTATACATACATATTTACCTCCGAGGACAAAGTCCTGGTATATATATATATATGTGCATATATACACTCCAAAGACAAAGTCCTGGTATATAGATATATATATATATAACTCCAAGGACAAAGTCCTGGACTACAAAAAAACAACGTCCCTGTTCGGGACACTGCCTGTCCGGCAGGCTAGTTACTGTTTCGATGTATCTATATATATATACATAGAGCTACATATGATATGTATATGTATTTACCTCCAAGGACAAAGTCCTGGTATATATATATATATGCATATATACACTCCAAGGACAAAGTCCTGGTATATAGATATATATATATAACTCCAAGGACAAAGTCCTGGACTACAAAAAAACAACGTCCCTGTTCGGGACACTGCCTGTCCGGCAGGCTAGTTACTGTTTCGATCTATCTATATATAGACATAGAGATACATATGATATGTATATGTATTTACCTCCAAGGACAAAGTCCTGGTATATATATATATAACGCCAACTACATATGTTTCATATTTCTTCCATGACTCTTTCCCTACATGACCTTCTCAACATGACTTCTTCCGGGGTCGGCGGCAGGGGGCGGCAGCCCTTAAATATATATATATATACACATAATATGTTATAATCATTATATATAATTATATATATACATACACACATCATATAATATAATAATGATATATGTATGATTGATGCATCTACATATGGCCATACAACTACACCCCCATATTCCCATCCAACCAATAAAGGTCTCGTCTTGGGCTCTGGCGGCGTCACGGCCGCAGAGGCGGATTTGGGCTCCACACACACCTGGGAGTGGGGTGCTAGGGAAGCAAGGGGCGACCAAGAGGACATGACCTTACCTTTTTCAATACCAACACCACGGCTACAACTGCCAACCTGACCCCCACAAAAACGCTGCATTGGCTTTCGGAACAAATTTGAAGCAAACTATACATTCATGAGAAATCAATATTCACCAACATGACAGCAAATCTACATTGTGTATGCATATGTTTGAAAAATGGTATGGAACATTGGTTTTATTGCTTAGTTTTGCAAATAAGTGTAGCAGTGTAGCTGAAAATTTGAAGCTGATTCCCAAACAGACTACAGATGGTTTCTGATGTTTCTGGGTTCATGATGTCACCCAGAAAAGGACGGATCTCCGAATCTCCACCCCCGTGGACCCTAGGGGACTTTCGGCAGTTTCGTTTCGGCGCTTGGACATTGCTGGACTTTGCTGTCGCAGACACGGAATCTTGGGTATTTCACCCACGCGCTGACCTGCTTCAGCTTGATTGAACTGATGGTCTCGTTGCCGGATGTTTTTCGCTTACCCGCTTCATCAAATTGGACAAATGTTCGCCGAATCGTTTCCGGATGGCCTCTTCCAGCATCGAACTGTCAGATGCTAATTTGTCATCAAAAATGGTCGCCAGGAAGGTGTCGCGATTGTGGTCCACATGCAAAGGTGGTCGGTAGTGGTTCAACGCCCCAATAGTCTCATTCAGGCGAATGTCATAAGGCGCACCTTCGTCGAAATTGTAGACGGAATGCCACCAAAGGTCATACACCTTCATGGCATGTCATGGTATATGATATACCTTGCAAAAACATTTGTGACTTGGACATTCCGTTCCGATTTTTCAGCATGACTTCACCATGTCTATCCCGAATTTAGAATGTTGCTTGGTGATCAAACAAGCCGTGGCTGTGGAATGAAGTGTTTTCGATGATGCAGCAGTTTTAATTTAAATAGGGTTCCAAGACCACCAAAAAAGATTGAAACATGGGACACATGCTCGCGTTTGAAACAATTGCAGTGTTTGAACACACTCCACCATATTCACACTTTGTATACAAATAGTGCCCGGCAAGCCGGGGCCGGACATTTCAAAAACTATAAAATCGATACTGCAAAATACAGAAGCGCCTATAGGATGTCAAGTAAATTTGCGTATTCGGTAGAATGTAGGGTTCGTGACTGTTAGCTGCTGGATCTTGCGGCTCAAGACCCCATCTCAGGGTAGACCTTCGTCACAAAGCCATCCTTCCCATGGCGCCTAGCCTTGACTGGAAACTCGTGAAGCGTAAGTTCAAATGCGGAGCGGATCCGAAAATGGTCCGAACTGTTTCACAACGGCCGCGCGGCAGACCTTCCCCGTCCATCTGTTGACATCCTTTTCTGTTGGCAACTCTGGCGCCACCTGTTTGTCTGGATGCCTCTTTCTCTCTGATGTCTCCAGTTTCTCTTCATACGGTGTTCCCTTGACATCTCTTGCTCTTGGCAGCCCTTTCTCTTGACAGGTCTGAATTTTGACATCTCATTCTCCATACTTTGTTTTCCTGAGGCCTATCTGTCTTGACGCCTCTTCTTTTGACTGAATCTTGACATCTCACCCACTCCCGGCGTTTCTGGCTCTTGACACACCTTTCTTTTGACACATTAAAGCAAGATGCTCTTGCACGCAGAAACCTTCACACACAGAAGCCTTTACACGCAAAAACTATTGTCACACACAGATAATTTTACACTGAGAAGCTTTTACACACAGAAACTCTTACACACAGGCGCTCTTACACATGGAAAGCCTTTAGACACATAAGCTTTTACACACAAAAGCATATTCATTGATCAAATAGCACATCAAAATTGTCACCCTGTCTGGCAAATACATGCGTATTCACATTGATCAACTAAGGCATCAATATTGCCACCCCGTCTGGCAAATACATGCATATTCACATTGATCAATTAACACGTCAAAACAAATAACCATAGTTTCAGAAACATATTCCGGACAGTTTCCGAACCATGCACCATAGTCGCCAAACCATGTGCTGTTTCCGAAACATAGTTGACAAACCATAGTTTCCGGACCATAGTTGACGAACCAGCCGTCATCCCCTACGCTTGGACACGCACCAAAAGACTTCATTGTTAAAAGGACCGACAGCAAGTGGTGGTTTGAATCAAAGATTCAGGCGACAACTTCGTGGTTTTGAAGCATGAGAGCAAACAGCTGAATATAGCTGAATCACCAAAGATCGAAAAAAAGGTGCAACATATATATCGAAACAGAGATCAACAAAAAAATATTGCTGTAGCCGTGGCTCATGCTCGATGGCCGAAACTGCGGTGAAAAGATGTTTTTTACAGTATGAAAACGAACCTCGAAAAACCATTTGATTTGATGCTATTCCAGAAAACAACAAGACTATATACCGGAAAAACATCTAAAAACAAATGAAACTGCGCTGCAATGGAACCGCGTCTTTACGTCCGACCGGGCCGTTGTTTGTACACGGGCCAATTAGTCGATAGGGCGCTGAGCATTGCCGAGCCTAGTCGCAATCCTATACCTTTTCTCGATCCTTGACAGCGTGAAGCTGAGCTTTGTACTTCATGCCATTTGCCCTCCAACCATTACAAGCAAAACAAAGCAGGAGGGTTCCCGTGAAAAATCAATGTGTTGGACTCAGATCTCTCCTTCCCTTACTGGAGCAAAATAAACTCCAGCTCTACCGGCTACTGCTGGTTTTCGTGACCGGTGCTAACAATTTAATGGATTTCATTCTAACTGTGCTCACGGTGTATGTATTGGCATAGAGTTCCAATATATATTGGCTTTACCCTGGTGTCCCCGTGCAAATGTGATAATGTATGATAATATCATTTTTTCAGATCATCATTCTAACTTCGGCTTCGCCAGTCTAATGTATCCAACATTACTCAACATTACACAACCAAGGTTTATCCCGCCTTGTGCGCATTCATGACAAACTTGGGCAAGGCAGGTTGGTTACGGTTCCCCTTCCTCTGCTGCAGTTGTGGCTCCCTCCATGAGGATGAAATCGTCAAGTTCCCAAAAGGAGCCGGAGCAAAGCGAAAACGCAGAAAACTGATGCTATGAACTTCTGACGTTTTTTTCCCTTGAGACTTCACAATGGCATCCCAACCTGTCCTCAAAAAGTCTTGTGGCACCTTCCCATCAGGGAAAACATGGGAGTTCAAGTGAAAGTATTCATCGATATCAACCGAAGGCATGACCCAAGTTGCATGGTTCTTGGCTCGGTAAAGGCAATCCCTGACGACTTGGGACTGGCGAAATTCCTCCTGGGATACCTCAAAATGTGGGGATTCTGGTCCTCGAGTCAGGTCCATATGGATCCTTGTGGCGAGGCCGGCTTTGAGATATGGCATCAAAACATCCTTCACAACATCGTCAGTTCCTTTAAAGGTGTAAACAAAGAAATGCTCGATCCCGTGTAAGTTGGACCACTCCATCCACTCCACCAGTTGCTTGGTCGCAGCAGGGGTTTCCTCTGACTTCACAAAAATGTCCCGGACACAGGCGACGGAGTGGTACTTCTTCAGCAAGCCAGTCCTGGTTGCTGTTTTCTCATCGCCCAAACATGAAAGTCCTCAGAGTCTTCAGGGCCATTTTTGAAATGAATAAAAGTCATAAAAGCATGACTAACACAACAATACTTGAGGCTCTTTCTTCGGGCCAAAACCTTCACTAGGATGTTGCCCTCTGGATCCTCCAAGAAGACCTCAAAACTCTCTTTGTGAGCTTCTTCTTTGGGCCAAGCGCACAATAATGAGCGACGGTGTACACGCACTTTGGTCAAATGCGCCCTGTTGGGTCCAGAACAAAACATGTCGTGCATTTCACCCTGGTGCTCGCCCACGTCCCTGGTCATCAACAAGGCAATGAAATTGCCATCTTCACCAAAACCTAAGACCACATGAAAGAATTAAACAACTTTCGAAGATATGTCGCATTGAAATTTCAAGAACACAATTGAAACAGTTTACTTAAATACATATGTATATATATAATATATACTTGCGTTTTGCTTACCCTCCGGCAGAAATTCAGACCTCAGGCGGGCTTTGCCGTTCACAAAGAATTTGCCACTAAATTGCGGCCAGGAAAGGCTCAGGGAAACTGTTCAATTTGAGATCATTTGAGATAATACGCAAAACGTGCAAAATTCGTTTCAAGTTTCAAACTATTCCGGCGGAATTTCCTGACTTGAACGCTCAAGCGTTTGAACAAAATTCCCTCGGATTTCCAACGCTATGTTTAATGTGGATGGTTTCAAACAATTTTTGGGGGGACTTCAGGATTCTGTGGATGCCGGCAGAGAATGAACCCAGATAAAGTCGAGTCTAGGATTGTCTAATTATATTTTTGCAAACATATTTGGATAATTTCCTGTTGAAATAAATCGAAACAACAATTCATGATTGATGTAACAAAATTTCTGGGAGTTGTGAAAAATAAACCATGTTGAATAATGCTCAATGATGTTCAATGATGTTAAGATTGTTTTTTATAAACGTGTTTTTTGCGTTCAAGGCACTAGGGATGGCGCTGAAGAGGCCGAACTCCGTTCCATCAGACCATTTGGCACGGTGCGGGGGCGGCAAAATCGCCAAGTCTCTGGGCGACGTCCACTCCGAGACGTACTCCTTGGAGCGAACTCCCGTGTCCAGAGGCAACCACTCAACCAATGGGACCCTAGGTCCAGATGTGTCCGTTACATTTCGAGCAATTTGGAGCTGTGAACTTTGGTCAAAGGATTGAGCCGCACAGCCAGAATTCTGCGCACTCAACACGTTCAGGCACGACAGTGCCCAAATCCACAGCATTCCATGGAACAAAGCTAGTTGCATACGTAAGTACGGAAATCGAAGAAGTGAAAGGCCCAAAGCCTTGGGAAAAATGGCAACAAGCGCGCCAACTCGAGAAGTCAGCTGAATGACAAGCCATGGAGGTCATCACTTGTCCTATTGCAGCAAGATTGGGGGCCAATGTTCAAGATATCAATGAAAGGAACAAATAACCCCACATGTTTAGTGTTCCCGTTCAACCAGGAATGCGGCGAGGGAAGATGAAGGAAGCCGATGATGATCCCATGGAAAGATGGATGGATGCATCAATCGATAAATATATAGAAGGCTGGAAACTGAGGCTTTACCATGAAGAAACAAACAGGGATTTCATGGGAACTATCAATGGATAAGGGGGAACTGTGATTATCTTGATAATGATAGATAATGATGTATATAGTGATAATTTTGATAGATAATGATGATAAATCATGGGGGAGCATGGTAGATATATTATTATATTTGTAGACATCTATCTGTCATTCTCTATCATTATCTATCTGACTACATATGTATCTACCTATCTACCTTTCTATCTATCTACCCATATGTTTGATGTCTGTTGTCTATCTATCCCAGCTACTGTCAGAAAGATATTGACAACTACAGCAAAAAGTAATCCCTCCTGAACCCAAACCACAAGACACTCATCATGTTTCGCACTCAAGCCTACTAAGTGCGGAAATTCCAAGAAGCAATTGGGGTTGCAGCGCAAAAACAGACAGCTGCAAACCAAACTTCCAAAAAAAATAGGGATCTGCTCAATACCTCTGACTTGGCTCAAATATTACCAGCCTTTCTAGGAATCTATGGGGTGAAACATGGTGAAACTCATTAAAAAAACCCAACCCATCAACCCATGAACTAATCGACCCATCCGATGTTTTTGACTGCCTTCTCATTGAGCTGCAGCCAAACGATGGCGTTGTTTCCCTTCACCAAACACTTGGGCCTCGGCAGAATCCATGGAAGAGCCCCAAATTTTTATCTTTATGAGAAAAGGATAGAAAAGGATAAAGAAGATTGATTCTTGGGTGTCCTATTTTCAGTCAACAATACATATATATATATATATACACGTATAGATATATAATATATATATATGTATACGTGTATATATATATATGTATATATATGTATGTATGTACACACATAAGGCCCTGATGTGTCTGACTTCATTTGCTGGCCGCTGATCTAGCAACATTGAGCCTGAAAAAAAAAATGCTATCTATCTACATGCATAGTTGGATGAATCATAACTATACTGATAATTACTATAGTGAAATGTATAGTTGGCTCAGCTGGGTGCCGTCTCTCCTGCGCTTCGCCCTTCACGATGAGTTTTTCCAGGCGGACGAGCCTCAGCTGCGAGAAACGAAGCACCAGCAGCGAAGCAGAGTCGAGGCGAAACGAACGAAACGAAGGACAGAACAAGGGAAAGTCTCAATTTAATTTTGATGGGTCATATTGGCTCAATAATTCTCTCATAACATTGGATTTATTATGATTTATTACTATGATCATATTCATCACATTCAAACTTTTGATCTTCGGAGCTTTTTGATCTGGTGGCACAGGCATATTTTGCCATCTCTGGTCCGCATGTCGAGGCACGTCGCAGTCAGGGTCTCGGTGTGCAAGTAACACATCAGCTGTGCGCCTGGATCCAAGAGATGGTGATGGGAATGCATGGCGGTTGATTCAGAAAACATGGGGGATATGATGGGATATGTGTCCAAGATGTGTGCAATAGCAAGAATCCAACCAACTTCGTTTGCATTTTGATCAATTTTGATATATGTTGATCATGTTTGATGGTGATTAAATGGTTATGTCACATCATCGTGAGAAAAAAAAGAGAGTGTAACGCTGTGAGGGCCCCATTTTTACAGTGCATTGTGATGTTTTTTGATAGTTTATGTTTGTTTATACTCATAACCTTTTCTTCTTGATATTCTTCAATATCTTCTGTATTACTTTTAGCTGCATTGCTATTTGTTGTGTATTCAATTTGGTTCTGTGAATTAAAAAAAAGCAAACAAGGGGTGGAGGTAGGCCCATATCCTCGGTTCCAAGTAGTTTTCTTCTTTCACCAAAGCAGATTATAAGTAGACTCATGGCAAGTAGCAACAAATCAATATGTGTATCTTCATATGATTATAAACAACATATTGCGTTTCAATACCCACGAATGATTAATGACATAGACATGGTCCGGTAGCCAGACTGTCCGGAGCGACGTCCGGCTAGATGGTCCGGCAAAACGGTCGGTCAGTCTAACTGTCCGGTTAGAACGTCCGGTTAGAATCAACCGAGTTGATTCTGGCCAGTCAATCTGGTCATATAGTAAATTGATGATCGTAAAGTCGTAAAGAAAGCTAAGTCTTCAGGTCTCTCGGAAGTAGCAGCCTTTTGGGGTCGGAGGGGGGGGGGCGATTTTTTATTTTATCGACCCCCATACAGACCTTTGGAAAGATTAAGCAGTTTACAGAGAGAAACTATTACAATATTTGGTGCCAATTTAGTAGTAAACCTTATAGAATGTTTTTCATAGGTATCACCTCATGTACATACATTTCACCTTGTTTACTATCGTGCTTATGGCTCAAGAAACAAGCGTCTACTTGTTGTGCATTTCGGGTTGTTTAACCTGTAAAACAGGTTATCAGCCGTAAGCTAACTTCTCCTTTGGTAGAATGTCTGCCCCCTCGGGTTCTTCCACCGAGGGCACCGGGCGCATAGATTCCTCTGACATTGCCATGGCTAACCCGGGGACACTACCAATCAGTAACTCGCCATTCTCAGTCGACATCAGCACCCCACCTGGATCCGATAAGTCTCGAAGCTTAAGGGAACGACGCCACTTTCCATATTTGAGTAACGCAGTTGTGCCTTCTCATATTGGATTCAGTCACCGTGGTTTTGTCCCCCAAGCCGCTCGGGAGGGTGGGCCACCGACTCGCCAATTGAACCAGATGAATGTCCATAATACGTTCCAACACAATGTTCATGTTGACAATCCTCAAGTGAATTTTGTCGAGCAGAATTTGCACCTTCATGCACATGATCCTGCTGTGACAAGCCTTGTGGAAACAACGGCCGAACTCCGTCATCGTGAAGTATTGGCCCAGGCCGAAGCTCACGCTGAGGCCGTCCACACGGCAAAGACTGAGGAATTGGTGGAAGCATTGCGAGTCCGTGAGGGCATTGAAAGTCAGAGGGCCTTAGATGCAATGATGTCCAAAGAACAAGAAGTATTGAGAATGGGAGCACAGTATAGGGAGAATTTACAGCATGAGGCGCACGAACATGTAAGGTTCCGAGAAGCTCAAATGAATGAGAAAATTCAGGCCTACCAACGTGTCATTGATGCTAACCATCGTCAATCACTATCAAGTAAGGAGCAAGAGATCCTTGAATTGAGAAGAGCAGCTGAGGAAGAGAGAAGGGTTCAGAATGAGCGCATTACACAGCTTGAACACATGGTACAAGTACAGATGCAGCACAATCTGAAACTGCAAAGTATGCTCGATTCCCAATTTGCTCAGGTTCGTCCAAGTCCTATTATCGAAACTGCCGCCATGACTATGACAGCCGGAACCCATGAATCAACGGAGATCCCAAATTTCGAATTTGTTCCACCGACCCGCAAGGCTGCACCCGCAGCACCTCCGACCAATGTAGCCCGACCTCCAATTGCAAGAACGCCGATCAACTTTACTTCACCTGATGCCAAGACTTATGAAAAGGATGGTATTGAAATCATTTATCATGACCCATCATATCGAGTCCCAGTACAAGTGAAGAAGGAGTCGGATGTTGCAAGGTCTTCCGTTGAGGAACGCCCTTCGGGAGGAGAGGCCAATAATCGTCGCCGAGATAATCATCCCATGGATAATGTTAATTCCCCTGCGCCGACCAATCAATATGCCCCGACCGAACTAGGCCCAGATGAAATGGAGCACTTCGAGCCGGGGGGCGATGATGCGCCTGATGGGGACGATCCAGGGGATGGAGGAGATGGCAACGGAGGGAACGGGGGAGGTGGACCACCATCACCACCTGATCCTATTGATAAACCTGAAGGGGATAGGAACCGTAAGGCACCCAGAAAAGGTAGGGCTGGTCCCAATCCTCCTGACGGCGGTGATGACGGTGATGATGATCCCGATGATGATGATGAGAAGTTCAGGCGAAGAATGATCAAGTTTCTAGGTGGCTACATCGATCCAAGGCATGATGACAAACCCAAGGTCAAGGAAGCTGACACCATCAAGATCCCAGCATTCCCATTGGCAGAAACCTATCGCAATTGGAGAATTAAGACCAGAGAAGCAGTTGTAGCAGCATCAACCGATCCCGACAGTGCTTTCAAGTGGGTTAGTGATTCTTGGAAAGAAGATCAGACTCTTGAAGCGCTCCGGAAGGTTGCGCCGTTTGCGACACTTGATGCAAAGTTACTTTCTGCACTCACCAACATTATCACTGGTGACTTCGCCCGCAAGGTAGATACCTTCAAGGAGACTGAAGCCACCGCTGGACGGATTGTAAGAGGGAGACAAGTGTTGTTCATGTTGCATGACCACTTTAGTACCAACATCAAGCACGGAGCAACCTATGCCCTTCAAGATTTGTTCAGTGTCCAATTGCGCGGGGAGAATTTGAAGTCTTTCATTTCAAACTGGGATCAAGTGTTGGCTGGTATCGTCCAGACTCCCGAAGTAAGTGTATTGGAGACACTCTTCTACAAACAAGTGAAGAATTGTAAGGCCATCCAACATGACATGAATGAGTATCATAGAGCTGATGAAGGAACCGAAAAACGGAACTACAGTTTTCTTGTTTCTGCCGTGCGACGCCACCTTGACCGCGAGAGGTTGGAGGCAAATCGTGATCGAGTTGCCAAAGGTCTTTCGGGTTCCGGTCGTCCCTCCGCTCCCGCAGTCGAGGGCAAGACAGGATTCATTCCCAAGGGGTATTGTGTGGCATGGAATAAGGGAGGCTGTAGCAAGGACAACTGTACTTACAAGCATGAAGTCCCCAAGCCACGTGATAGAAGTCGCAAACCCAGCAAAACCAGAGGTCGCTCAAATGAACGTTCTGGTTCTCCCAGACCAAAGGGGAAAGGTAAGAAGATTTGCAAGTTTTGGAAACAGGGACGTTGCGATAGAGGAGCTGATTGCAAATTCCTTCATGAGGGTTCAGTGGGAAAACCAAGACAAGCTACTCCTGCCCGTTCGGCCAGTAGCGAAAACAAAAATAAAAAGAAGAATCCCAAGAACCCGAAAAGGAAGGGATCCCGAAGCTCTAGCCGCTCTAAGAGCCCCAAGAGCCCGAAATCCCCGAAGTCTAAAGGATCCGGGGCCAGTTCATCTAAGCCGTCTCCTGCCGCAGTTTGTCTCGTTGCATCCATGCTTGCATCCGTGTCTCAGGCATTTTGTATCCCTCAACCAAGAGTATTTTGTCCATCGATTCGTTTTGATGATTCACCGGACGTATCTCATGTTAAAGTCCGAGGGAACTTGAGGCCAATTGGAAACGCAGTCACCAAGGATAAGGTTACCTTTCCATGGGGACATCAGTTTGAAGTTGATCAACTTGCTGTGAATGATGCCGCTTTGACCGGTACCATGTTGGCAGGATCTGTTTCCAATTGTCTTCGGGGAATAGAATGCAAATGTGCCTATTTATGTGACACAGATTTTGGTTGCAATGAATGTATCCCAAAGGGAATCAAAGCCACCCCTGCGGAATGTAGAGAAGACGTGAAGGGAGCGATCAACCTCGAACTTGACTGGATTGCAGATACGGGGAGCGCTCAAGATCTTGTCAATGATAGCGAATTGCCAGATGACTATGGATACTACTCCAACAATCCCATTCGCATGATTACTGCCAACGGTGAAAGTTCGTCGTCAAAACAGGGTAAAGTATTTGTTCCGAAGTTAGGCAAGACCATTGACCCATATCTTGTTCGAAGCTCACCTCCTGTCATTTCAGTCGGGATGAGATGCATTGATGATGGTTACGACTTCATATGGAGAGGCTCCAAAGGTGAACCTCCTTACATGGTCAAACCAAATGGGGAACGCATTGAGTTAGTTGTCAGAGATTACGTACCCTACTTTGCAAATAATTCAAAGACGATTTCCACTCCATCAACTCAGCCTAGACCAAGTATTGCCACCCCGGCATCAGATGAAGCTCAACAATCTCCGGAGCCCGATGGGGACATTGAAATCATTGGTGATGACCCCATGGGTATCAATGTTGATTTACCGGAGCCCCAGCCCTTAGAGGCTGAGGAGGTTGATGTTCCTGATGCCGACCGGGAGGTTGAGCCGCCTGTGGAAGGATCAAAGGGTAGCAGTAGTAACGTCCATGATGATGGTGCTCACAAAAGGTCACTTGGGGAAAAGGAATTGAAAGAAGAAGCTAAGTCCATTCGACATATGCTGACTCATATCCCTAAGAACCCCTTTTGCGACATATGTACCAGAGCTAAGATGTTCAAGCCACCCTCAAGAGCTGTAGGCGGATCAACCAAAGTTAAAGCTGAGAAATTTGGTGACCACATCACCGCTGATTTTATTGTCACCAGAGATGAAGATGAGTTGGGAATTGATGAAGAGAAAAGTGCACTCGTGGTAAAAGACATAG